GTAACACGTATGTCCATATATTCAGACAAAAGCAAAGTTGTAATGAAATGCATACAGGTAACATGTATGTCTGTATATCCACACCATAACAGAATTATAATGAAATGCATGAAGGTAACATATATATCTACACCACAGCAAAATTATGTTGAAATGTATGTAGATAACGCCTATGCCTGTACATCACTTTAGTGGAAAATCATAAAAGTGTCATATTTTGTTACAATATGCTGTCATTATTCATTTGTGTCAGTTTAACAACTACATGGCAACATGGCTGTCTTTCTAAAAAAAATACATATCCATTAATCCATGTAACAGACTTTTGGGGAATCTGTAAATAGAATATGAATTACGCTTTAACATAAACCACATCTTGGAGTTGACTGTACTCTGGATCATGACAATTACATTTATTAATAGATGAGAAAAGTGCTGTTCAAACGAGTAACTAGTGTGCCAATTTGATCATATCTCTACTCAGTATTTTCTATTACCTTTTGGAAAAAAATGTTTAATATTTATTATTCACTCAACAAGTGCTTATAGAAAACATTCATCAATAGATATCAATATTTATTATCCCCTTCTAAATCACAGAAATACACTGTCATGATATAAAAGACTGTTTGGTTTAAATATCAGTGATTAATTTATATTTGTGAGTGAATACTTTATTATTTTTAAGTTTTGTTATAATAAGAGTTAAAAGCAGACAATTGTAGAAGGTTTTGTTAATAACTAATTGATGTTGAGAATATAGAAAGTGGCCAGACGACTATGTAATAGAAATAGAAATAGCGTGAGACGAGCGGGAAGTAGCAGACAGACAACAATAGACAGATAATAGCAAAAGAGAATATAGCTGTGTGAAGTTAAGTACTACAAAGGTGATAGGCTTAATGTTTAATATGTTAGAGTGAAACTAACAGTATAAAAAGGATAATTTTATTCTGTCAAAGCGTGGTTCTAAAGTAATTGAATTAGCCTGGATACACTTTGACAAAAGGAACAGAGGATCTTCAGAAGAAAGAAGACCAAACGAATTACGCCACAACTGTAAAGTGTAAGTGCATCATACACAGAATACTAGTACGATAGTAATATAGAGAAGATAGTTCGACTTGTCAACTGAAATTCTAAAGTAATTGAATAGGCCTAAGTTAACTTTTGACAAGAAGAAGAGAACTATATATATATATGAATAGTGTTTACGATATGCCTGTCATCTCTATAGTGTGAAGACTGTGTTGTGCATACGTTTAACTTGTTCCGAATATATATATATTATATGAAAACAAGTAAAGTGTGTGTGTGCTGTTTATTCATTGTTGAATTTATCGCTAACAAGTCACAGACACCTGCTGTAGAAGAATCCTAAGCCCAACAACAACATAGTATATATTTATACTATTAAGAAATATAAGTAAAAGCCATTTATTTCGACAATTGGCAAAAAGAAGAACTTATATATATATATTAGTTATTTTAAATTCTGACATACACAATAACACAAGGAACACCATAAGCATATATTTCCCATCTTTTAAGAGAAAATGAGAGCTATTACAAAATATTTTAAGACAATAAATACTAAGCATCCTGTATAAGATGCTTGGAACAAAAGAATACAATAGAACACATCTATTTACGTATCACAAGTGTTAAAAAATAAATTGCACCTACAAGAAACTACAAGTAACAAAAGTGTTTTTAAGTCACACAAGATCTGATCAAGTTGAACATACAACAGATTAATCAGGTAATTTAAAAAAATAATTTGAATGGCAATGCTACACAGGATATAACCAAAAACTGAAAACTTGAACACTTTATT